ACATTGCTGGCTCATGGTCATCCTGCTGTCCACCAGGACCCCCAGGTCGCTTTCCCCTATGCTATTCTCTAATAGCTCAGTCCCCAACCTATACTGGTACATTGGGTTGTTCTTTCCCTGATGCAAGACTCTACCGTTCGCACGTTCTTTGGAATTTAACTTTATACACAAGATAGAAACAAAAGAACCCAGAGAAAATGCTTCTAAAATAACTTAGTTCACAAATCAAAATATTTACAAGCAAAATCCTAAAACTTGAAGTTTAAGGTTTATGATCATATTTTGTAAAGCATGATTTTTTTGGCCAGTTCAGGTGGAAATACAAGAAGTTTCAGCTAAAATTTTAGACATACGGGTGTTTAGGCTACAGCGCCAATTGACTTCATGAGGATCAGAATCTGGCTGTTGACGTAGCTGCTGTTGTAGGTGTTTGGTGTGTTTTGGAATCCTCCTTCCAGATCCTCTTTTCACCAGCAAGTAGGATGTACTGCAGCATCTGTCTGTACCCCAGCAAGATAAAGCTGCCAAGGCTGGTTGCTCTGCCAGTCACGGCTGCAGACCCGGGCTCCCAGCTTCAGCACAGGGTGTTCGCTCCTTCCTAGAACTAGCTAACTGCCGTCCTGTAGAAAGCATTGAGTCAGTATAAGGCTAAAGATGATAAATATATTTATCTTCTATTTTGAAAAAAGACACATCAGGTAAGAATGAAATACGTTTGTATACTCAACATGACAAGGAACAACTGTCAGGTGTTTGCTTTACTAGATGGATTTCCTACTCGGTTGCTTTTTGCACTACTTTGTCCCGAGCTCTCTTAGGTCTTTTTTTATTCCAGCTTTGTTTACTCTCTCTCTCTGGGCCAGAATGCAACCTCAAAACAGATTTTGATACTGCTGCCTCTTCTGCAGAGGCAATAATTATTTTCATAAGTACTGATTCACTGCAAACAGTATTTTAAAGAATCTGAAATGTTTTATCTTTAGTGGACTTTAAACAATCAACAAAATTGTTAACCATACATAGATGCGTGGACATGCTCACACACACAGACTTTCCCCCTTCCCATAGGTCCTAATTTCCTGTGGAAGCGATGACACAATTGCTCTGTTGATATCTCTGTGACCACTTACTACTCACTTGTGAGTCCATTGCTACCCAGATTTGAAGCGAGGTGGTGGTGCAAACGGATGACAAGTGAAGTTCCATGAAATGGTTGATCCAAGCCAGTGGCTTGCTGGTATGAGAAAGAGATTGTAATTCCTCCTTTCCATCCCAGACCTCGTGCGTATTCCTGAGCTGGGCCCAATTACTTGCCTTACCCTTTACCTCTCTGAATTAGAATAAAAGTAACCTGGCAAAGAATTATACAATGGTTTGGGTTGGAAGGGACCTTTAAAGGTCACCTAGTCCAACCCCCCTGCAGTGAGCAGGGACATGTTTAGCTGGATCAGGTTGCTCAGAGGCCCGTCTGACCTGACCTTGAATGTTTCTAGGGATGGGGCGTCTACCACTTCTCTGGGCAGCCTGTTCCAGTGTTTCACCACCCTTGTTGTAAAAAATTTCTTCCTTATATCCAGTCTTATGTCTTCCCTCCTTTAGTTTAAAACCATTACTCCTTGTCCTATCACAACAGGCCCTGCTGAAAAGATTACCCCCAAGAAGTGAATTGTTTTCTGTCAGTTTTTCAAGCTGGAAGAGCTCACTGAAGGTTAAGGTGGACACTTACGGGTGACTGACGGAGTTGGTGGGACTATGGTGCAGGAAATCAGAGGGGCAGTTGGATCCTGTCTCTTGACAGAAGCTGTTGTACGTGCTTTGTTTTGTCATGATACCGAAGTTCTTACAAATCTCACAAAGAAGAGAGGAAACCATATAAGGAGAGAAATATAACTAGGGCTGCCAAGAAGGAAAAGACTGGAGCTCATGCTTTGTTTGGCACCAAAGAGTTCAAATATGAAAGCCAGTCTTTCTAGGCCTCATTGATTCTGATGCTGGTTTTGACTATTTGCTTTTAATTCTATTCTGGCAGTTTTGAAATTTAAAAAAATATCAAAATAAGTAATAACATTTTGTTTCAAATTTGGGAAACAGTGTTTTGACTTAATGTTATTTGACCTGAGTTTGGGATAGCTTTGGTCTTCCTGATGTTGCCTGTTTTAGAAGGTTAACTGTTAACAAGGGTATATGCTTTGCTTTAGTTTTCACTTTTTTCCAGTTTTTGAAGAGTGGCTGTTGAGATCCTTATTTATCTTCTCCTTCCAGTTTGCTTGTGTTCTCTCAGAGGAATTCTCGTGAAGCATTCTTCCTATTTGAATTGCAGTAATAGCAGGAGAATACAATTCCCTATATCCGCTTCTAAATATTTCGTGTCATTCCGCCTGCCGCCACCTTTATAGTCTTCCCTTCTGGCTCTGTCTTTACTGTCTTTTCGTGTTTTGCTCTGGTAGAGCACTCTAGGGTTATCTGGAAAACCATTTTGATTTCCATGACAGAATATTCTGTAGTGGTATTTGCCGATTTGCTTACTGTCACTTCAGACCCTCATAAAATGCCTCTGTGTCACACTTGAGCACTGGCACATGTTGGTCTTGTACCACATCCCTCAGAGCTAAGCCTAGTGCAGTGTGGAAAAGTGTAGGAAAGATCTAGGCACTGAGTATCAATGTGTCTGGGTTACTGGGGAAAAATACATTTAGTACTATGTGCTTTTCTTAAAGTCCAATGTACTTTTTGATGGTGCTGTACAAAGTACACTGTCTTAGGACTGTTCATAAAGAGCTGTGGTGGCTGTCTAAATTCATAAATACTGTTGAGTTAGTAAGACTTGGTATTAACCCTCACCAGTGCTCATCAGGTGGCTTAGAAGTTGGTGTGGGCCACTTAGTTTCATGCTGTTGTGTCTCTACAGAGTTTGCAAAAGTTAAGTGAAGTGATTAAGGTACTGTTAAGCTTGCATAATTTATATGTGAATCAGTTCATAAATGCAAGTCCTGAAATAGGGCATTACAGTGGGTATAAGGAGTAGATATTTAAGGGGTTTGCGGTAGCTCTACGTCCAACTGAGAGAGGCTTTTTTTCTGGTGATGTGATGATGAAGACAATCTCGTGTTATCCTCTTGAGGATGCCCTTTACAAGGCTGTACATAGGGCCCATGTCAAAGATCAGCACATCAATTTGGCTTCTGGAGAGGCCTAGTATGAGCTGATTTTGTAACTCCGTGCATCTTTTTCTTTGGGTGTGTGTGCTTCCCATTGTCATCCAATTGTACAATATCTTATCCAGAATGGGATCTCATACTTAACATTAACAGCCATCCCTTGCTGATGAAGAAAAATTCGTAGCTACACAGCATTCATGTGTTTCCAAGAGGTTTATAACAGTATTTTGAGATTTAAAAAAAAAAATAATCTATTCAACACTATTCAGAAGAGAGGTAGAGACTTTTTTTCCCCCTCCAAAACAGATTCTCTGCCTCTTTCTCTCCCCATCTCTCTTTTAAATTTCATTATAATTTCCACTCCTGGTTTATATGTACACTTTTTGTTTGGTTTTATTCACTTGCTCCAGCCAGAGAGAAGCCTGTCTTGATTTTAGACCTTGGCTAAAGGATAGGCAGCAACAGTTGAAAGAAAACTATTTGAAAGAAGAATGTAACTGTGGAAAATGTAATAATATTCTGGGGCCAAGTAAACGTCATGCTGTGTGGAGATGAACATGAGCGGTGTGTGACAGTTTACCAGTCACCAGCTTACCAGTTGAGAGTGTCAGTTTGCAGCTGTGTGCCCTGTAATGGTCACTGAGATCTGATCAGGTTGTTTGCTTTTTAGATCTCCAAAATATTTAGCATCTTCTTTTAGGAACATGTCCACAGATGGATGTTTGCCCCAAAGTGACTTGCAAAATTAGTTTTCAAGGAAACAGAAATACAGCTGAGTCTTTCATGTGAAAAGTAATGCTAAATCATGCTAGAATAATACATGTATTTGTTTTTCCTTACAAAATCATTCTTACATTACTTAGAGGCTGACAGGGGGAGAAAAAAAAAAGATAGTTACTGTAGATCTGTGGATTGCTCTGCTTGAATTGATGCAATCCATATGAAAAGGTCAAACATTTTAAAATGAAAACTTACTCCAGCATGTATTACAGTTTATGATGAGTTTTCCTTTTGTGATGACTTTGGGTCACCCACAATGACAATATAAAAACATTTGACTGTAATAAGAATTAGTGACTTGGTACAGGATGGAGAGTTTAATACAGTTAACTTCCATTTATACACTGCCAAGATACTTTATAGAGAAAGTTAAAATGACTTCTACTTTTCTCCATACCAGAAAAAGACATATAGTTTTAAATACTTTTCTATGTTGTCTGCAGTATAGTTTGCATGTTGACAGGTCTATAGATGGCCATGAAATTTTCTGAAAATGGCTAGTTGTTACAAACATACAGACTGGAAGTTATCTGTGGGCTGGTAATGCCCACTGGCTCTAAATTAAAAGTAATTCTAAAAACAGATGTAGATATTTCCTGATTCCAGAAGATGCTGATATTTATTTTTATATTTTTGTTTTGTTCTTTAGAGAGATAGAAGATGAATTCAGCTGAAATCACTGATGATGATGAAGGTAAAATATTATACTTTGTGTAACTTATGATCAGGCAAAAATATTTGTTGAATTAAAGCCTTTGTAACCTGATAAAGAATGCACATGGATTGAGACAAATTACATTTTTTTTTTTAAAGCGATCTAAAATACACCATTGACTTTGCTTCTCATTATGTCTTCTGCTCTACATCCTTCGTCCCCCTCCAAAAAAATCTTCCTGCTGTAACTTCATTTGTTTATACTTTTGACTCTCCTTTGGGGAAGAAACTGTCATTTACTGGATGACTGAATGATTCCTAGCATAATAAAAACTTGACTTTGGGGTGGCCTCAGCATACACTTATCGTGCAAGTCATAAAAAATAATTATGCTCTTCAAAACACATTTTCATAAAAAGAATCAAACCAAGAAAGATTGTATTAAGGGTGTCATGGTTTTCTGGAGAGAGTGCTTTATCTTTCTAAACCTTCTCTTTTTCCAGTAAAATTTCCTACAAAATGTGTTGTGAAAGTAGAAACAGAAAACGAAGACGAAGCTCTAGACTGCTCAGTAACATCCAGATCTGCTGAGAAACACTCACTGGATGGTGCAGTTACTTGCCTACAGGATTCCAGCAAACGGAAACAGACCTCACTTGGTTGTGATAGTTCAGGGAGCCAGCAAGATGTCTTATCCAGTGTGAAGAAAAGACGCTTTACACAAGAGGTGACTTCTCTATACATGACTGTGTGATTTTTCTGTTCTTATTTCATAGGCTGAATTCAGCGCTGCAGTAAGCAAAATGCAAGTCATTTGACTAGTTTTGCATTAGTAATGAGTTTGAGGCAAATATGGCTAATCTTAACCCAGTTTGCACACGTTACTTGTCTCGGTATTTCTTTAAATAACGTGGGAGTGATTGTATCTATGAAATAGTTATAGGTGAATTCATTCATGTTAAGTGTATTTTTGTTGTTCGTAGGAGCAGGTAGTAATTTGCATTAACTGAGCATGACTCTGATTACAGTCCTCATGTCACAGTGTCCTTCAGCTGGATCCTCAGTGGTAGAATCAGGGCTGTAATCCTTCCTTCTGTGACACAGATTACGATGTCAGTGAGACAAGTAT